ATGTGTCTGGATTAGCAGACGTTAGACTTGGGGTGTAAAGAAACTTGATTCACGTTCACATCAATCCCTCTTCCCCCTGTAATTGCCACTATCTGGTTACCATAGAAGTTACGCTGTGCTGCCAATAAACTCACCAGCCCGGGCGTGGGCACGTAACATTTCTTCCTTCTTCTAAATTGCCAGAGAGTGTGTGCTCATGGGGGGAGGTGGGGAGAAAGAAGGAGAGAGAGGGGAGAGAAATCCTCTTCAGTCGCGTGTGGTCACAGCGGTCACTACCCTTTATCCCTTACCCCTCCTTCCTGTCAGATTTTGGGCACACACATGAGCCCAGAGTGCTTTTCACAGCCCGGGGCGAGGGTCTGAACCACGGCTGGCCATGTGAGTTCTGTATTCCTTCACCACTGTGCTGTGGGGCTGGCCTGAAACATCTCTTGATGTCATTACAATTTTTTTTTTTCTGAGAGGTTTTCGCTATACGGCGTGTGTGCTCGCCAGACAGAGAGAGAGAGACAGAGAGACAGAAAGCGAGAAATCACCCCCCGGGGGTGGTGGTGGTGGCCATGCGGCAATCCCTTCTCCTCCATTCTCCTCTGGGGATCTTGGGCACGCATGCACACGTGCCCGGCGTGAGGTTTAAGCCACTGGGTCTGGGACGCGAACCGCGGTTGACTATGTGGGAGGCCAGCGACATAGCCATTACACTAACTGCTGACTCCCTGTAATTACAATTTGCAGTAAACTTTTAATTAAATGTCCATCTGTTTGCTAAACAACCCAGATTCGCTCTCTCTCTCTCTTAAAGAATTATTTATTTATTTACTTATTTAGTTCCATTTATTATTATTATTCTTTTTAATTTGACCAGAAAGAGAAAGAGAAAGAGAGAAAGGGAAAGTGAGAACGCAAGCCGCCAGGTCTGCACCTTGAACCGCAGTCGGCCGTGTGGGAATCCAGCCCTCTATCCACCACGCCGCCTGCCAGCCCCTCACGCTGTCTCATGGTCTCATGAAATTCATCCAAGGGGCCAGTGACATAAGCACGCTGTTGTATGTGACTTCAAATAAGAAGTGACCTCATGGAGAGTTCCAGCGAAGAGGGAAGCACTGGCCGCGGTCTCGGGCTTGGGCCCCTCAGCAGTCCCGGGACCTCTCCGAGGGAGCTGAGGACAGCCGCGGCTCTTCACAGCCAGTGAACAGGCAGAGACTCCCGGACGTCTCCTCGAGAAGCGGGCTCTCCCACCCTTTCTCATTGCTGCTGATTCGCAATGATTTTCAAAGATGATTCTTTAGGAAGAATGAAATTCTAGCTCTATGCTGGGTGGGAAGTAGCACCGTCAGGTAAGATGAATGGCCGTTTCCTGATGGCCTCTGGATCGGGGTTCTCCCAGCCACCCAGGCCCTGGACAGAGTTCAGACATGAAGCCCTGGCCGTAGGATCCCGGTTCGTGCTGGTGATGGCTGCGGCGTGCCGCCTCCCCTTCAGAAGCCAGTGCCCTCAAGGCCAACCATGTGCCAAGGACGGCAGAGACTGTGCGGGATGGCATGCCCCTCAGCTCGCCGCCTTCTCCATCCGCTCATTCTGTGACTGACTGGGGTGCGCTCTGTGCCCAAGGCTGGGGGTAGTGGGGGGCGGAACGAAGCCCTGCTTTTGTGCAGCTGCATCCTGAAAGTCCCCCTTCTCCTCCTTTCCTCAGGAAAAGGGGGAGCCACCATTCCATCCGTTCCCCCAACCGATAGGTACTTACTGCCAGTCAGGAGCACTGCCCAGGCTGAGCTGGGCACAGGGATGCCACGTGCAGCCAGACTCCCCACCTTCAGGCCCTGCCCTCGGGGTGCTCACCCTGGGGGCGTATGCAGGCAAACAGGAATTACCACACAGTGAAGTGCTGACGGCTACAGAAAACAGGGGTGTGAGCCTCGGACACGCAGCAGCAAACCTGTCCAGGTCAGAGTGGAGGGAGGGTCAGGGCAGGCTTCCCTTTGAAGTGGCCTCTAGCTTCATACAAGGTCCTCAGTGTCCCTGAAGTAGCCGCAGGGGTCAAGGCCTAGTTTGTCATCCCAGAGTCCATGGATCCTCAAAGCCATCCGTGCCCACCTGGAGCTTCCAAATGGCCCAGGTCAGGGCACTCTTCCTCTTGAAGACCTTCGGATGTGGCCGGCCACCCTAGGGAAGCCCCGCCCATGTGCCTGCCCAGCCCCTGGGCTGACTTCTTTTGTCCTCACGTCACCCTGAAATGCTGTTTCATTTTTTGTCTATGGGGGCAGGGATGGATTTTGATGTCTGTGTGTGCAGTGCCTGCCTAGTGACGGGCACTATAGGCTCCCACCAAACTTCTGTCGGACATGCAGCATCTCACGTGCTTCCCTGCTCTAGCAGCCGTCCTAACAAGCCAGAGGGGTGCAGGAGGGAGGCTATTTACACCCACCCGGGACGCAACAGCGAGTGCTGCAGAGGAGCCATGACGGCTACATCTTTAGACCTGGAGATGGGTGGGTTCTGCGCTCAGGGGCTCAGAGGGGAGGTGGGCCGAGGAGGGACTGAGACACTCCTGGGTACTAAGGCGCAGGGTAGGGTTTAAACAGGGCTGGGCCAGCATGGCCGGATCGGAGCTCAGAGCCAAACCCCGGGCTTAATGTCCTGATGTGGCTAGCAGACTGTAGCTAGCTGTACCGTCTCGTGAAGTGCACAGACTTTGAGAAACCCCGTGAAGTATGTGTATACAATAAACTGAAAGAAAAGGAAAAAGAAAAAAAAAGAACCACAGTTTGGAGGTACAAGGACATAGCTGGGGACAGAAGGGGCTCTTTAGGTGACCTAGCCCTGGACTGGGTTGGAGGATACCGAGACGGGGTGGGGCAGTGCTGGGGGGGCAGGTCACCCTCTGGGTGCAGGAAGGCACCAGCCGACAGATGAAATCCTCCAGGGTGACTGTCTAAGCGAGTGGCTGAATTTCTCATAAATCATGAAGAAATGAAAAAGAGCCCAGGGGAGGGAGACGAGGAGAGAGCCTGGAAAGGAAAGCCAGGCCTCGGCTTCAGTACTCCAGTGACTCAGACAAAAGCCCAGTGACTTTTTACTCCCTTTGACAGACAGCCCTTTTACAAGAAGGAGGTAAAAATAGGACCACATATCCGCGGAACTCTTTATGCCCCTTGGGGGAAAGGTGCATATAAATGGAATACAGTATCCATGGTGAGTCACCAGTGGTATTTTAAAAGGGATTTGTCACCGGCAGTGGGAGGCGAAGAGCAGAGGGATGAATCTGTAATGAGAGCAAAGGGAACGAGGCAAAAGCGAGGCTCTGTGTGGGCGCCCAGGGTGCTCAGGTGGGGCCAGTGAGAGCTGGAGGGCCCGGCGCTTTGCACGAGAGCTGGCAGGGTTGGGGCGGGCTGCCGAGGGTAGAAGGCTGCGGTGACCTGGCCTTGTCGCCTTGGGGACTTAGGAAGGACATTTAGAGGAATCTCAGCTAGGGGAAAGTCACCTCCCACAAAGAGATTTCACCCATGGGAACCAGCAGTTAGCGTAATGGCTATGTCACTGGACTCCCACGTAGTCGACTGTGGTTCGCGTCCCGGACCTGGTGGCTTAAAACTCACGCCGGGCGCGTGTGCGTGCGTGCCCAAGATCCCAAGAGGAGATTGGAGGAGAAGGGATTGCGGCGTGACCATCCCCCCTGGGGAGTGATTTCTCGCTTTCTGTCTCTTTGTCTCTCTCTTTCTGGCGAGCGCACGTGCCCTATAGCGAAAACCTCTCCAAAAAAAAAAAAAGAAAGAGATTTCACCCAAAGGCAGGTGGCGTGGTTGCCCACCTGCCCCGCGCTGGCCGCTGGCCGCAGTAGCTGGAAGGCTGTGTGGTGTGCTCGGTCCCCGAGCCCAGAGCGCGGTTCCTCTCACCGAGGGGGATGGCTGAGTGAGCTATGGGGCAGCAGCTTTGTACTCTGGAGTAAAGAAGCGAAAGACCACGTGGCCAGACTGGGTGACCAGACTGTGTGAAGGAGCCAGTCCCCTTCCTCTGGGCAGCGGGGATGAGGAGTGCAGAGGGCACAGGAGGGAGAGCATTGCCAACTGCCCAGTCATCACCGTGGATGCAGAGGGACAGGGCCTCACGTGCCCCCTCCTCTGGCTCTTAGGGAAACCTTAGCTCTGCCTGGCTTGGTATATTGGCTTCACCACATACTGCTCGGGTGACTGGGGAGAAGTTCTCCAATTTCTCTCTGTCTCAGGTTGTCTCATTGGTAAACTGGAGTAACTATGGCAGTGATCTCATTATGGCGAGGGTCAAAGCACCTAGAATCGCCGCCAGCACATAGCACAGGCCTGGCGATTGCTGGCGTGTACTGTCCCTGGTAAATGGCACCGGGGGCAGTAAGGTGGAGAATGGATCAGGCAGATTCAAGATTTCGTGGTAGTTTGCAATTTACTGCTGAGTTCTCTATAAATTAGTCTAAGCTAGGTTTTTCTGCATTTTCCTAATAATTGCTTCTCACTTACAGTGGGTCCTATGGAGTACTTGTCCCATGACAACTTCCACTAAGAGAAAATGCTGTGGTCAACAGTACTTAGGAGATGACCGTGCCACCCCACCCCCTTGAAGAACCTCCATG